TTTTTTGATTTTCGAGACAGGGTTTCTCCGTAGCTTTTTAGTTCCTGTCCTGGAACTAGCTCTTGTAGTCCAGGCTGGCCTCAAACTCACAGAGATCCGCCTGCCTCTGCCTCCCGAGTGCTGGGATTAAAGGTGTGCACCACCACCGCCCGGCTTGTAACCCCAGTTTTATGGGACTGAAGGGATATGGCTGCATCTTCTGACCTCCACGGCATTGGTCACACACACACAGTGCACACCCATGCAGGAAAATCATTCATACACTTCATAAAATAAATAAATGTTCAAGAATTAAGGTGGCATCAAAGTGGAAAAAGGATTGCTGGGAGTAGAAGGGGATTGAGGAGGCTCAGCAATAACAAAAGAGCCACGAAAACGCCAAATTAAACCCGTTTGTTACATGCTAATCACAGAACAGACGTGGGCTAGGGAGGTAGCTCAGTTGGTAGTGTTTGCCTCGCGTGCAGACAGCCTTGGGTTTGAGTCCCAGCACTTCTAAATTGTGTATGGTAGGGTATGCCTGGAATCTGAGAACTTTGGGAAACAACAGGAGGATCAGAAGTTCAAGCTCATTCTTGGTTACATCCTGAGTTCAGCTCTATCTCAAAAAAAAAAACAAAACAAAACAAAACAAGGCTGGGGAATCTCTGTTGAGTTGGAAGCCAGCCTGGTCTGCATAGTGAGTTCCAGGACAGCCAGGGCTTCAAGGTGAGATCCTGTGTCAAAATACAAACAAACCAATAAATAAATAGAAATAAATTATAAAACCAAACCAAAAAAAAAACCTCAGCCTACGTTCAGGAAGTAATAATAATAATAAATGCATTTCTATGCATGTTTTCATAAAGAGAGGAATATTGCACAGCAGATTGCTGAGGGCTGTATAAACTCTCTGTAGTTATTTTCTGTAATAAGAATATTAATTTTAAAATTAGAAAAATAAAAATTTATCTCTAAATTTAAATTTACCCATTGATCTGTGTCTGTATGCGTGTATGAATGTGGGCATACGTGTACCATGCCATACATGTGAAGGTGTTCCTTTTCTGCTTCCATTGTGGGTTCTGGGAACCGAACAAGACTTTCAGGCTTGTGCTGCTAGTGTTCACCTGCTCAGGTGTCTCACCATCCCATCCTAGTACCACTGCGCAGAATGAACTAGAGCACTCGTTCATCACATCATGAAAGATGCACTGGCCGGGTTTTCCTTCCATTCTAAAACATTTTTCCCCTTCGTGTTTTTTTTTTTTCTCTAATTTCATGTGCATTGGTTCTTTGTCTGCATGTATGTCTGAGGGTGTCGGGTCCCCTGGAATTGAAGTTATAGACAGTTGTGAGCTGCCATGTAGGTGCTGGGAATCAAACCCGCATCCTCTGAAGGAGTAGTCAGTGCTCTTAACCACTGAGCCATCTCTCTAGCTGTCACACACACACACACACACACACACTTGGTTTTTCGAGACAGGGTTTCTTTGTGTAACTGTCATGGCTGTCCTGGGACTCGCTTTATAGACTAGGCTGTTCTCTAACTCACAGAGATCTGCCTGCCTCTACCTCCAGAATTTGGGGATTTGAGGCATGCTGGAATGTGGGCTGGAACACTAGAGTTGAATAATGGAAAGCCTCATGCGTGTAGGAATGAGGTTGTGTGTGCTTGTGTGCGTGCACCTGTGTGTGTGTTCTGAAGATCACGTCATCTATAGAGGGCTTCCCTTGACTCTTCCTGTGAAAGTCCTGGAAACATCCAAAGTCTGATTAAAATCATTGCAAAAGAGGAAGAACCAGCCCCAGAGCTGGGAACTGGAACTGGTTCAGTTCTTACTTTTGCCTGCCTGAGAGGAAGTGTGGCCACTGAGTAGGGGCCTTAAAATGGCATTATGTCAGGGCTGGGGCTGTAGTACCTCTGTAGTAAATAAAGCTATTCTGAGCCTGCTAAACAGAAAGTCAGGGGCTGGAAGAATGGCTCAGAGGTCAAGAGCACTGCTCTTCAAGAGTTTAGATTCCTAGCACCCACAAGGCAGTTCATAACTGTCTGTAACTCCAGTTTCTTGGGGCCTACCACCCTTTTCTGGGCACTGCAGGCACAAGGCATGAACACGGTGCACAAACATGCAGGTAAACGCCCCCCACACACACATAAAATAACAGTTTTTTTAAAAAAATAATAAACAAAAATAAAAACAAGCCTCAAGGGATTTCAAATTACTTTTAAGTAACTTAACCACATCTCAGAACGAAGTATAAAAATAATAAAAGAAACACTGAGTCCTAACAGTCAGCAAGGTAAAAGCCACAGTGTCTAGCCTCCTAACAAAAATTGATTACCAGACAAAGAAACACACACACACACACTCACACAAGAAATTATGACCCATATTGAGGAGAAAAAAAAATCAGTAGAATCAGACCCAGAATTAATAAAGTAAATTTATATAGTAAATATACTTCATATGCTCCAAAGTGCAGGAAAGAAAGAACTTGATAGATACAGACATTAAAGATAAACAAAAATGACCCGGATTAAATAACAAGCACAGGATCACATCTGAGGCAGAAGCTTACCTGAAAAGATTTCGTAGGGATAGCAAAATTAACTAGAGGTCTCTATCCAGGAGGGCCAAGGACAATCCAGTTGGTCAGGTAAGGAGAGAAACAACAGAAAGGCACCATTAGAGCTCCCTGTTGAAGAATTCATTAGGGTTTTAGGAGGAGCTGGCGTTTGAGTTTTCCTTTAAGAGACTTTAAGCTGCCGAGAGATGAGGGTGGGGGTGGTGGTGAGCATTTTCTATAGGTAGACACACATGCTTAGGCCAGCTTAATTGGCAGGTCAAAGAGGTTCCCGTCTGGGGAGGAGTCAGAAAAGACGTCAGCCGAAGGGGATGAAGAGAAAAGGCCTGGCTGACTGGGCTGTGATAAATGCAGAGACAATGAGGGGGTACTATGCCCATCAACCAAGTATTCTAAGAGAATGGGTGTCACTGCTGTCTGGGGCCGCTGAGAGTGGGCCTCGTTTAGTAGCCAGGAGGCAATTGGCAACATTCTGGGAGTCATCCAGATGAGGCAAATTACAACACCGGGGTTGGAGAGCAAAGGAGAGGGGGAAAAACGGAGGTCCCGGGGCTCCTCAGGGAAGAAAAAAGAGGGCCAAGTCTGCTCCTTTCGGGCTGACCGGCTCGGGGATGGCTTTTTCAGAATTTCTTTTCCACAGGACGACCATGAAGGGAGCTGTTTCTGCCACCAGACACAGCTAAGCAATGATGTACAGGCGCCCCCGAGCAGCCTGCAGGAAGAAAGAAAGGAGCTCCTGGGATCAGGAGGGCAGAGAAGAACAATCGGAGAGGAGGGCTAGGCTGCTGCTGTGGGGGAACAGAACGGAGGCCCGGCTGCAGGAGGAGGGGAGCTGCGAGAGCAAGGAGGTGTGGCCCCCATCTGTCCTGCGGGTTGCTGGGCCTGTAGGAGCCTTTCCCATCCTTTGTCCTGGGCTATTGGGCCTGCTCCCTGAGGACTGTTGATGGAGTCCTAATCGCTGCCGGTCAGACTTTTAGCTGTGCTGTGCTTGAATGAATGACACAGCCCATTCACCATAGTCTGTTCAACACATGACAGTTGTTGTCCTCGTGAAAGGAACACTATCTGGCTCCGAGGTATCTGTGGTACAAGAAAAACATACGTTTGGGACTGAAAGGAACTCATTGCAAAATTGTCCTCGGGACACGGGATCTAAACTTTTGTCACTGAAGAGACTTGGCTCCTAATTTTCCGGAATGACTCAAGTGTTTACTTCAGACAATGACAGAGTGTGTCCTGCTCGAATCATTGAATTTCTGTTGTTTCTGCAAGATGTGGGTGGGCAATATGACTCAGTATTTTTCCAAAAGACGTGAAAATTATATTGCCTATTTTGGATCATTTCATGTTGAGATCTGGAGGTTTTTTTTTTTTTAATTTCAAATCTTGGATCTTAGGGAATTTTTGGGTTTGTTTTATTTTTCGGTCATGTCAGATCTTTTCCAGATAAGAATTTAAAGGAAAAGTACTTAACAATAGCCCTAGGTTATGCAGTAGCTCTTGAATGACAGTTCGTTCTGACATTGTTTAAGGAAAATATTGGCTAGAGCTATTGAGACTAGTTTTAGACACGGGTCTGGACATCATCTTACTAAAACAAAATTATCTTGCAGTAAGACAGCTAAGTGGGCAAAGGCACTGCTGCTGAGTCTGGTGATCTAAGTTTGGTCTGTAGAACCCACGGTGCGAGGAGAAACTGACTTTTTTTTTTTTTTTTTTTTTTGAGACAGAATTTCTCTGTGTATCCCTGACTGTCCTGGAGCTCACTCTGTAGACTAGACTAGACTGGCCTGGAAATCAGAGATCTGACTGCCTCTTCCTCCCTGGGTGTTGAGATTAAAGGCATGTTCCACCACCGCCCAGCCTATACTTACTTTCTTGATAAATAAAACAGGTTCTTTCCTAGTACTAAAACAAAGCAAAGCAAGCAGGCAAACAAGCAAAAACTTTGGGCTGGAGAGATGGCTCAGAGGTTAAGAGCACTGACTGCTCTTCCAGAGGGTATGGGTTCAATTTCCAACACCCACATGGCCAATCACAACTGTCTGTAACCCCAGTTCCAGGAGATTTGACATCCTCACGTATACATATGTGCAAGCATAACACTAATGCACATAAGATAAAAAAATTTTTAAAAATTAATGTTAAGACAAGAGACTGAGGATATAGTCTCTAAGGAGGATGAGGGCCTCCCAGGGTGAGAAAGAGAAGCCATAGGGGCAGTTTCGTTCACATGGGAACACAAGGGAGAATGGAGGGGGAAAGTCAAAGTCCTCCTACGTGTGTGCACTGAGAGCCCACCCAAGTGAACACAGAGACGTGTGTCTAGCACAAGCTCTCTCCCACCCCATTGTGTCCCCACTTCTTCAGGGACCACGGAGGGGTCAGTAGAAGCTCATGAAGTTCCAGAACAGGGAGAGGTGTACTATGAAGTAAGAGAAATCTAGTTGTCCAGGCCCTAGATTTCCTGGGTCACCTCCTAGTGCCTTTGGTGGGGCCTAACAACGTGTTTACATTGTGCCACTTAAAGTTGTTTCTAGACCGGAGGTGAAGGTGTCTGCCACCAGGCCTGATGATGTGAGATCCCTGGAACCCACATGTTAGAAGGAGAAAACTGGTTCCCACAGGTTGTCCTCTGACCTCTATCCACAAACCATGACTTGTGTGTGCATGCATGCAGATATACATATGCTCTCTCTCTAAATAAAATGTAAAAAGAAATTGTTCTAAAACATATTTGAATGGAAATCTTGCAAAACTCCACTCTGACTCCCTTTCCACAACTTGTAGCCCATGGATGAATGAGATATGAGTAACGAAAGACTCTGTTGACCTGCAGCCGAGGACATCTGGATCAACTGTCATTTTGTTTGGGTTTTGGGTTACACATTTCTATAGTCTGCAGGCAGATCTGTTCATAGTTCTGCTATTGTTAGCTGTCCCAGAGCAGTAATGGCTACCAGGAGGGGGTGGACAAGTGTATTGGTTAGTTGTCAGCTTGACATAAGCGTGGGAACCTCTATCGAGAGGAGGCCTCCATCATGGCCTTTGGGACATATCCTTGGATACTGATTGAGGTGGGAGGGTCTAGCCTGCTGTGGGTGGCGTCACCCGTGGACATTTGATTGTGGATGTTATAAAAGAGTGAGCTGAGGGAGCAAGCCATGAGCGGCGTTCTTCTATGACCTCTGCTTCACTCTGGCCTTGAGTTCCTGCCTTGACGTCCCTTCATGATGGACTGTACCCTATTTAAAAAAAAAAAAATGCTTTCCTCTTCAAGTTGCTTTTGATCAGTGTTTTATCCCAGCGACAGAAAACAAAGACAACTAATACATATTTAGTATCAGGTTTGCCCGTCTTTGCCAGTTCCCGTGATGTCAATAGTTCTGCCATGCTCTATTCCAAACTGCCGTTGTGACATCACGGCTGAGGGTAGGAAGGGCAGCACGCCATTCTGTAACACCCCATTCTAGAAGAGAAGGAGATAAACCTAAGAGCACAAGTATAGTAAAAGACAGGGAAATCATTTGGTTTTTTTGTTTGGTTTGGTTTGATTTGGTTTTTCGAGACAGGGTTTCTCTGTGGTTTTGGAGCCCGTCCTGGAACTAGCTCTGTAGACCAGGCTGGTCTCAAACTCACAGAGATCCACCTGCCTCTGCCTCCCAAGTGCTGGGATTAAAGGTGTGCGCCACCACCGCCCGGCTCAGGGAAACCATTTGGAAGTGTTTGCATCTTTTATATAACTTAATTATAAGAATGTATTTTGGGGGGTAGGGGGTTTCGAGACAGGTTTCCCTGTGTAGCTTTGGAGTTTATCCTAGAAATAGCTGTGTAGACCAGGCTGGCCTCGAACTCACAGAGATCTGCCTGCCTCTGCCTACTTAGTGCTAGTGCTGGGATTAAAGACATGTGCCACCATACCCAGTGAAACAAGGTTTTTAAAAATAGGGAACCTGAAACTAATTTGTAATAAATTCTTTCAATTTTCAGGTAACTTTAAACACAGAGAATTTTTTTTTAAATATTTATTTATTATGTATACAATGTTCTGTCTGAGTGTATGCCTGCAGGCCAGAAGAGGGCACCAGACCTCATTACAGATGGTTGTGAGCCACCATGTGGTTGCTGGGAATTGAACGCAGGACCTTTGGAAGAGCAGGCAATGCTCTTAACCGCTGAGCCATCTCTCCAGCCCCCGAGAATTTTATTTTTATGAATGTCTAGTCAAATAGAAGTTCTTGTCTGAATAGACTGAGTTCGGTAATTGAGGATGGTTCAAAGTTAAAATGATTCATGCCTTCATATTAAAATTCTTGATTATATATATTTGGTTTTTCGAGACAGGGTTTCTCTGTAGCTTTGGAGCCTGTCCTGGAACTAGCTTTTGTAGACCAGGCTGGCCTCGAACTCACAGAGATCCGCCTGCCTCTGCCTCCTGAGTGCTAGGATTAAAGGCATGTGCCAGCCACCACCCGGCCCTTAATGATATATTAGTTACTTATTGCTACATTGTAAATTACTCCATCATTTGGTAGAGCTGGGTCCCAGCTAGGCTTGTCTGAAGTTGCCTCAATATGGTGAGGGAGCAAGTTCTTTCCCAAACTCACGCAATTGCTTGTTGGCAGGATTCCGTTCCTCTTGGGTTGCTGGATTGGAGACCTCAGTTCCTCATTGACTGCTGGCTGGAGTCCCTCAGTTCCTCACTGTCAGGTAGGCTGTCCCGTGACGCAGCTCATGACGTACCAGTAAGTCTCTGCCAATGAAGAAATGAAGGAGGAAGCAAGGGGAAGCAAGATGGAAGCTCCAGGTTTTCCATGCCCGGATGTGAGAAGTGGTGTCCCGTCATTTCTGCTGTAGCCTTTTGGTTTAGGGTCATTTGGAAGTCATTGGGGCTTCCTTTAAGAGGAAGGGATTAAAGAAGGGTGTGAACTCCAGAAGACTGATATCGTTCATTGATGGTAGCCTGCTACCGAAGGGAGTGGCTATTTTAAAAAAATTTAAATATGTTTTTTTGGGGGAGAGTTGGATAGCATCTCAAACAGTCCAGGATGGCCTCAAATGGACCATGTAGTTGGGGGATGACTGAACTCCTTCTGCGTCTACCTACTGAGTGGCAAGATTATAGGCACACACCACCATGCCCAGTTTACGTGGTGCTAGAGACCAAATCCAGAGTCTTGTACACGCTAGGAAATACCTTCAAATGACCTACATCCTTAGTCCTTGAATATATTATTTTGACTGTAATTTAGAAAATGCTTTGAGCACCTCAGTATAAACAGCGAGACATTATAGATTTGAATTTGCATATAGATGAAAGCTGCTTCTATCTGTCAGCTTTGAGTGTGTTTGAGTGAAGCATGGTGGTGCATTCCTGCAGTCCCGGCACTTGGGACCTGAAGCAGGAGAATAGCAAGTTCAAGGCCAGCTTGACTAAACACTGAAACCCTGTCCAAAAAGACACACAGACATATGTATGTAAATATGGACTGGCAAGATGGCTTGTTGGGTAAAGGCACTTTACTGCCGAGGCTGATGCTCTGAGTTCCATCTCCAGGACCTACATGGTGGATGAAACAAACAAAAAACGATTCTCACAAATTTCTGTCTTTTGAAAACACACACACATACACACACACTGTTAAAAATAAAAAAAGGGATCCACTTCAAAGGAAATAAAGGATAACTTTAAACTTTTGATACCTCAGTCAGAGAAGAGTGAGTCACATGAGCACATTAGGAAACCTGTTTAATGATGACAGCAATAAAGACCGCGAGAAATGATAGCACGGAGCTGGTTATATTATGTCTCTAGTTCCGAGCAATCACAATTAGCTCTCCCAGAAGAAAATTGGAATTTCCTTGGAATCTTACCGCTCAGATATGAAGATATGAAACAGCTAAGTAGAGCCATTTCCAAATTTAACAATAATCATAAATATTTATATAATGTTACTGCTAATGATTCGTGGAATTGAAACTTTTCTAAGTTATAAATAATAATTTTTAAAAAATCAAGCATAGTATAAGGACTGAATTACCTTGCCATTCCCCATAAAAAGTAGTATTTCTCCCACCTAACTGGGAGGCTGGGATAGGAAAAGGGTGTGTTTGATACCAGACTGGACATCATAGCAAAACCCCTGGCCCCACAAAAGATATGCAAGCCTGCCATGTGAAAATGCAACAAAAAAGTATGTAGCCAACAAAATTTGACTTAAAAAAATATTTGTGTTTGTGTGTGTGCACGCGTGTGTCATGTTCAGAGGACAACTTGCAGGAGTTACCTCTCTCCCACCGCTGGGGCTCTGAAGCTAGAACTGAGGTTGTCAGGGTGGACGGCAAGTGCCTTTACTGGCTAAGTGTCTTGCTGGCTCTCAGAGTGACTTCCTTTATCTTTCTAAGCTGGTACATGCTTTTGTTACTTAATCTGATACTTCTTTTTCTTTTCTCCTCTCTACTTCCCTCTCCTCCCCTCCTCTCCCCTTCCTTCTTCCTTCCCTGGCCTTGATCTCCAGAGGTGCCAAAATCAAACACATAAACAAATCATCTAGAACTCCCAGAACTGAAATTATGATCTACTTAAACATTCAAATTTCTTTATTTTGAGACAGGGTCTCGGGTTGAAGTAGGTGAGCACAGGGAATGTTTAGTAATCTGGGATTCTGCTTGGATTGGTTTATGCACACCTCACTCTTCTAGTAATGTGCTTGGCAGTCCAGCTCCTTTAGCTGCTCATGGTGTGCACACACTCCTCTCTGAACAATGCACCCGGCACTTGGTCAGCGTCTGAGCACAACCTTTCTGAACAATGGGATAAGTCTCTATACCCCTAACAAATTTAGACAGTTTCTATTCAAATATATTCTCAATGTTTCCTGATACAAAGGGTGGAAAGGCTAAGCCAGCCTGAACTGGTTTTGGGTGCATGCATTGTAAAGCATAACTGGATCTTATGCCTGTGCATAAATGGGTGTGCATATGGTTAAAATCAGATTCATTATGGGACGGGATATGCACAGTAGAAAAAAATGATTATATGCCTTAATATAGCAATCAAAACAGAGAAACGCCCTCACAAGCATGCTACCAAGTGAGTTGCTTCCCCAGCTCCAAGTAGATACTCAAAAAATCATTTTATATATGACAAAATTACTCTCAATAATATTCACAAAATGAAACAAACAAGCAGACAATAAACACAGACGAGGACTGTTCAGCTAGTACAAAAACACTGGTGAGATTCAGTGAGTAGAGGCTCCTGCTAACAAGCCTGAGGACCTAAGCTTGGTCCCCAAGGCCCACATGATGGAAGGAGAGAACTGACTCCTGTAAGTTATCTCTTGTCTCCACTATAGCATGGCACTCGCACGCATGTGTGCACTTGTGTGTGCTCTCTCGCGCTCTCACACACACACACACAGAGATAACTTTAAAATATATTTTTAACAAATAAAGTAAAAAGAAAATCGCCCTTTCTGTGCTCCCAACACCACCACTGGTAACAGTGGAGCCCAGGCTAGCCTTCATCGTTTAACCACGACAACCAGGAAGTCCCCGTCTTCCCAGCTCTTTCTCTCCAGTGCTGGATTATAAGTGTGTGCCACAGAGGTCAGCCGTGATTCCTACTTTGTCAATGTCCCTGGCCAGGAGTGGCAGTCTGACTGGCGATCTGGTGAAGTCTGGGGGGCTTTTGGTAGCACAGTGTTAGACTCCTTCTTCACTGGCAATGTTTGCATGCCGAGCATCTCCTGCACATTTAGATTGCTTACTGTAAGCCCCTCCCCCATATCCCGCTAAAGGATAGAGCCACAGAGAGCTCCAAGTTCAGTTTACTTAAAGTTAACCAGTGCATCTATAACTCCTAGAAAAACGCCTGAAGACAGGGCATGGCAGTAGTGATAATCTTGCCCCCACCGTCCCCTCAGCCTCCACAGCGCCCTCATAAGAGCCACCACACTCAAGCCCCTGTTTTCTTTTTATCTGCTTTTATTTCTTGATCATTCTCAGATTCCATTTATCTTCCCCCCTCCCCTCTCTCTCACAGGGTCTCAGGTAGCTCAGGCTGGCCTCAGCTCTCTCTGTAGCCAACGCTGACTCCCTCCCTTCCCAGATGCTGGGATTACCATGCCTGGTTTTGAGCCGCTGCTCCCCGAAACTGCATGCTTCTTTCTCTCTGGGAGTCCTTACACATTTCTGAAAATTGTTTTTCTTTCTTTTTAAAGATTTAGTTTATGAGTGTGAAAGGAGTGCCTTCAGGTATGCATGTGTTTCAAGTGCTGGAGGTCAAAGAGATCGGACAACTCGGGCTGGCAGGCTTGTTCAAGCACCTTTCACCTGCCAAGTCATCTCACTGGCCCACTACGGTTTGTCTTTGTAGTCTTGAATTTTTAATCTAGCCATGGTCTCAATAAACATATAGAAGACCCACTCATAGTAAAATTACTCATTTTATGCTTAATCTTAGGGACCTATTTACCATTAGACCTTTTTACTAGGTACCTTGTTTCTTTATATATGTATTTCTGTTTTTATACATATCAGTGTATGTGTGTGTGTAACTTTTTAACTCGGATACTGGGAATCCAAACTCAAGTCCTTGTGCTTGTGCGACAGGCACGACTTCCTCTGAGCTGTCTCCCCAGCCCATATTCCTGCTCCACTGATCCCCGTCTCCTCTTCCTATTTGCTTCCCTTGTAGGATCTCAATCATGCTGGCCTTTCTTTATTTTCTATGTCTCAACTTTAAAAAAAAAAATTCAGAAATTTTATGTCTATGGGTGTTTTGCTGCATGTGTGTCTGTGCAGCACATGTGTGCCCGTGGAGGCCAGAAGAGGGCACTAGATTGCTTGCAACTGGAGCCACAGATGGTTGGGAGCTTCCATGTGGGTGCTGAGAGTGGAGCCCAGGTTCTGTGGAAGAACAACCAGCGCTCTTAACTACTGAGCCGTCTCTTCAGCCCTGCCTCCTCCATGGCATAGCTTGTCTTTCCATTTCTTCCACTTTGGCATTATGTTCTTGAAAACATTTTAAGTTTTTCTCTTCCAAATCACAATTTTACTTATTTGTTTTGAGATGGGATTATTTTAGTCCAATCTATACAGCCAAGGTTGACCTTGAGTGTCCCATATTCCTGCCTTCGCTCCACAGTACTGGGATTACAGGCTTGATTCCTTGCACTTGGTGTAGGCAGTTCTGGGGATTCAATCTGGCCTTTGTTCATGATAAACCAGCTCTCGACCTAGAGCACTCTGTTCATTCTTTAGGGAACTCACTCCCGGCTTACAAGCAGAATGTTTGGCCACTATACTTTCGGTTCCCCAGCGCCTTGGAGGAAGGATCTATGAGGGAGCTGAGGAGTGCCTTTTCCACATGTTGCTGGAAATTTGTTCTCAAGTTTCTCTGAAACTATTTATTAGAATTAAGGAAATTTACCTGTCTCTGCCTCCCGAGTGCTGGGATTAAAGGCATGTGACCACCACTTGGCTTTCTTTCTTTTTTCTTTTTTGGTTTTTGTTGTTTTCAGGCAGAGTTTCTTGCTATGTAGCCTTCACTGGTTCACAGTGTAGACCCCGGTTGGCCTGAACTCATAGAAGTCAGCCTGCCTCTGCTTTCCCAGTGCTGGGATTAAAGACCTGAGCTACCACACCCAGCATAAGACAAGTTTTTCCAGTAAGTTTGTATTGGTTTT